TGCCCATCAAGGGATGAATGGATAAATAAGATGTGGTATATATACACAATGGAATACTACTCAGCCATAAGAAACGATGAAATCCAGCCATTTGTGACAACATGGATGGACACTGAGGGTCTTATGCTAAGTGAAATAAGTCAGAGGGAGAAGGTCAAATACCATATGATCTTACTCCTAAGTAGAAGATAAAAACAACAACAAACACATAGAGATAGAGATTGGATTGGTGGTTACCAGGAGGAAAGGAGGAGGAAGGAGTGTGAAAGGAATGATTAGGCACATGTGTGTGGTGATGGATTGTAATTAGTATTTGGGTGGTGAACATGAAGTAATCTATGCAGAATAGAAGTATAATGATGTACACCCAAAATTTATACAATGTTATAAACCAATGTTATCACAATAAAAAAAAAGAAAGAATAGCTGAAAAGCTCCCAAATATTAGAAGGAATATGGACTTCCACATACGTGAAGCTCAAAGGACCCAAAACAAAATCAACCAAAAGAAGATTATAGTAAGATATATTATAATCAATTTGTCACAAGTCAAAGGCAAAAGAGAATTTTGAAAGCAGCAAGAGAAAAGCTGAAATTGCAGTGTAGGAGGGAGTGAGATGATATATTCAAAGCGCTCAAAGAAAAACACTGCCAACCAAGAATACTATATCTGGTAAAGCTGTCCTTCAGAAATGAAGTAGAGACAAAGATTTTTCCTGGATAAACAAAAGCAGAGGGTTTTCATCACCACTAGACATACCTTACAAGAAATGCTAAGGAGAGTTCTTCAAATTGAAATAAAAGGAAATGAAATGTATGAAAGTATAAAACTCACTGGTAAAAGCAAATATACAGTCAAATTCCAAACAGTATGATACTCTAATAGATGTGTATAAGTCAGTTTGAACTCTAGTATAGAAGTTAAAAGACAAAAACATTAAAATAACTACACAAATACCTCAAAGATATTGCGGGCTTGGTTCCAGACCACCGCAATAAAGCAAATATCGCAATAAAGTGAGTCACACGAATTTTTTGGTTTCCTAGTGCACATAAATTTGTCTGCACTATACTTTATTAAGTGTGCAATAGCATTATGTCTAAAGGAACAACGTATATACCTTAATTAAAAAATACTTTATTGCTAAAAAATGCTAACCATCATCTGAGCCTTAGGCAAGTTGTAATCTTTTTAGCTGGTGGAGGATCTTATAAAAAATGCAATATCTGTAAAGCACAATAAAATGAGGTGTGCCTGCAGAGGTGCAATAATTTGTTAATGGATATGTAATACAAAAAGATGTAAAAGATAACATTATTAGCATAAAACACATCAGGGGAAAGAAGAAAAAGTGTAGAGTTTTTGTATACAATTGAAGTTATCAGTTTAAAAGAGACTGTTATAACAATAAGATGCTTTATGTAAACCTCATGGTAAACACAAAAACTTCTAGTAGATAAATAAAAGTTAAAGAGAAAGGAATCAAAGCATACTACTGCAAAAAATCAACAAATCACAAAGGAAGACAGCAAGAGAGGAAGAAATAAAGGAAATATAAAAGCCAGAAAACAATTAACAAAATGGCAATAATAAGTTCTTATCTATCAATAATTACTTTAAATACAAGTGGATTAAATTCTCAATCAAAATACACAGTGTGGCTGAATGGATAAAAAAACAAGATTCAACAATATGCTGCCTATAAGAGACTCACTTTAGGACACACACAGGCTGAAAGTGAAGGGATAGAAAAAGAGATCCATGCTAATGTTAACCAAAAGAGAGCAGGGTTTGCTAAACTTATATCAAACAAAATAGACTTTCAGTCAAAATCGGTCACAAGACACAAGGAAGGTCATTATATAATGAGAAAAGGGTCAATTAATCAAGAGGTATAAGAATTGTAAATATATATGCATCCAACATTGGAGTATCTAAATACATAAAAAAAATATTAATAGAACTGAAGGGAAAAATTGACAGTAATGCATTAATAGTGGGGGACTTTAATACTCCACTTTCATCAATGGATATATGATCCAGACAGAAAATCAATATGGAAATAGCAGACAAATAACATTATAGACCAAACGGACCTAACAGACATATACACAACATTCCATCCAACAGCAGCAGAATACACATTCTCTTGTATTGAGAGTCTTGTGTTTAAGAGAAGTAAATGTTTTTATACATATTATGCCTTCCATCCTATGTTATAACGCCCCCATGACAGTTATGATGGTCAAAGTGATCTCTGTCACTCCAAGTTATAAGGCAAATTTAGTCCAGGAAATAAGGTAAATGGCAACCAAAGAATAAAAGGCAGCTGTAAAATCCCCCAGAATTGAATATTTACTTTATTTTATTTTATTATTATTTTTTTTTGGTGAGGAGATCAGCCCTGTGCTAACATCTGCCAATTCTCCTCTTTGTTTGCTGAGGAAGACTGGCCCTGGGCTAACATCCGTGCCCATCCTCCTCCACTTTATATGGGACGCTGCCACAGCATGGCTTGCCAAGCAGTGCGTTGGTGCGTGCCCGGGATGCGAACCGGCGAACCGCGGGCCGCATCAGCAGAGCGTGCACACTGAACTGCTTGCGCCACCAGGCCGGCCCCTTGAATATTTACTTTAAATTGTCAGTGTTAAACATATCAGAGGGAGTTTTCGGGCAAAAACTTAATACAGTCAAGCAAGAAAAAGACTTCTGAACAATTTACTCACACTATCCCTTTACCATATTACTTTTCCTCCAAAAGAGGATAGAAAAAGTCACTATGCAATGAACTTATAATAATTTATATACAGTAACATACCTAACAGTATGTTAACCTCTCTCTGCCTCACTTTCCTCCACTGTAAAAATAAAGTATACTTCCTACTAACTCATAGGTGAGTACTATTTTGAATTTTACAGACGTTATAACATATTTGTAAGGTGTTTATAAGAATTTTCACCAATGCCTGAAACTTTGTTTTTAAGAAAAATAGTTATTAATAGAAAATAAGGTGCTGAAAATGATTCTCTGATTTCTAGTTTAGGTGAATGGTGATATTCACTGAGAAGAAGAGGTTCTTTTAGAAAGCCAATCCTGATGACTATTCTCCCCTAAATTCTTTAAGATGAATTAAGTGTTCTTCTAGCTGTTTTGAAAGTACACTATACATATTACAACACTCACCATGGTATATTTTAACTGTTTATTTTTATGTCTATTATCCTTAGTAGATACTAACAACATCTGAGGGCAAAGAACTGTGTCTTTTACTTCTGCATTCCCAGTAATCGGGATGTATGTGGTATATAAATAGGCTCAATATATGTTAGCTAAATAATTAAACTTAAAGGAGATATGGGTACCTTTAACAAGTCCAGAGAATATTTGGAAAGAAGAGTATTTCCAAGGGATTTTACCTGCTACTCCCCTAACTGGCCTTAAAATTTCATCAAGTAGAATGTAAAAACTAGTATGCTATACTACTCTTTTCTAATGAACTCTCACTAATAGAAAGTGTTGAAACACAAATATGTAAAGAAAATAGCGAATAAAATAAGTAATATAAACAAAAACAAATTATGCAAAAGTTCCCACCTTTCCCTTCACCATGACTATATAAATACAGCAGTGCCATGCTGTGAAGGGCTAATATCAAGACTTTCAAAATCAGATCTGAAGGGAATATTGAAAAGTTTTCAGAGTTTTTCTATATACAGAGTCACAGTCTCAGTATTTGTTACATTTCCACTATTTCATACTATACCTTAGATGAAGATCTTCTGAAAACTTCAGACAGGCGTAGATAAATTCTTTAATTTGGTTGTAAACTTTTGGCACAAATTCAGAGAAAGGAAACTTTTTTGGAAATGGTTGCTGTAAAACCAAGAATTAATGAAAGCAAGTCACAAACCAACATACATTGAAGATACTTATAAATTAATTAAAATGCAAATGGAATTTTCTTCCACATTCTAAACTGTCTGCTTAACCGCCTCAAATTTAAGAAAATATCTCCAAAAGTCTCCTGATACAAAAGAATAAGTTATAAATTTAAATAAACAATAATTCAAATGTCCTTCAACAAATGAAGAGATTAAACTGCGGTACATATTCAACAATAAAAAGAAATGAACTATTGATACATGCAATGACTAGGATGAAACTCAAAAGCATTATGCAGAGTGAAAGAAGCCAGTCTCAAAAGATTATATACTGTATGATTCCATTTATATGGCATTCTGGAAAAGGGGAAAGTAGACGGATAGCAACCAGACTGGTGGTAGCCAAAGGCTAGGGGGTAGGGAGGAGGACTGATTAAAAAGGAGCAGCATGAGGGACTTTTGGTGGATGATGGAACTGTTCTGTATCATTATTGTGGTGGCAGACACATGACTCAATGCGTTGTCAAAACCAATAAAACTATATAGGACACAGGGTAAATTATACTGTATGTTTTGGGGATAAAATGTTCTAAGAGTATAAGAAAAGCACTTATTTCAAAGCGTAAACCAAACTGGAATGCTCCCAGCAATCCCCCAAACACTTAGAGGTAAGACGGACCCCAAAGCCATCTACTGATTCCCAAAACAAGAACTTCTGTTCTTCTGGGCCCAAAAAACATCCTTTGAAGGTCTTCTAGAATTCTAACTCATGGAGTTGGAGGCAATGCTTTTAATGAGACTGATACAATGAAAGCTTTTATAGGATGCCAAATCAAACAAAGAAGTTTATTTAAAGTATTCCTTACCTTTTCCAGCTCTATATCTTGGAATGGGAATTGTCCTACCACCTTTTTATACATCTCTTCAGTTGTTACTGGTATAGGACTATAGTTGTCAGAATCAAGTATGTTTCTATAAAGAAAATAAGGGAGGGAAGAAAAGAGGGAAGAAAAGAAGGGTGGGTTAATCATTGTAGTGATCACAACTAATTTTCAGGTGAACTCTAATGGTTATATATATATATATATATATATATATATATATCACAACCCAAAATGAACGTTCCTCAGTCCCTATTCTATTTCTTCTACAATACAGCTATTTGCTTTCAGGTAAGAGCATCTTTAAAAGAAGACAGAAAGAAAAATACACTCTGAAACAAATGGAACATAATTATAAACATGATTTCATAGTATTTGAGATTTACAAATGAGACAGAAAATTTTAAGCCAACATGTTGAAGCCTTAAGGCAAGTGAGAAGTAAACAACAAAAGAATGCGTGCTCCGGAAAAAGCAAAGAGGTTTTTTTGCGTGTTTTTTAAAATAAGATATATTTGATTATGCTCTTTAATCCTGTACTAGATCTTCTATTCTAACCTTAAAAATGGGCAAATGAGGAAAACTACTTCTATAATAATCCAAATTATCTTCATTTCCTTCATCTACTGCTGTGCATTAACCATGAATTTTTTTCATTCATAGGTGCTTGCTCCTTAACTAAACTGAGGGATCTCTAAAAGCAGAAACTATACTACTAAAATCAAAACAGAAACTTACTGAAGGTATCAGATGAGAAGCTTTTAAGACCATGGATATATCACATTATTAACTTTTAAGATTCCTATAGAGATAATCCTCCCCTAAATTGTACCATTAGATAAATCCGGTTTTTAGAAATACAAATGTTTATATTAATAAAAAAATCAGTTAGCTAAGTGATGATCAGAGATAGGTTCATAAACTGTGAAGAGTCAGATTAAAGGAACAAGGTAAGATCTCAAAGCTGTAAAATCTGAAAACAGGGTAAGTTGATCCGGGGAATGGGTCTTGCGGTAAGCAAGAAGATCACTTTAAGCAAAGCAGTAAAGGGTTCAAAAGGAGAAGAAACTCAAGTGAGTTGACATGGGTTGTATGCCAGGAAAACAGCACAAGGAGACATTATGAGTGGGAGGTATAACGGAATAGCTTTCTTATTATTGTATGTATGTTGCAAAAACAATTTAAATGATATGCTTTAAACGTTGGATTGTAATAGGCCCCTTCTTTGTGTGAGGAGAAGAAAGAAGAATAGGAATCACATGAATAAGTGTTCAAAAAAGGTTCCAGAAAAGCCTAAATTATTCAAAAGGGCTCAAAAGCCACTACCTTATAAGTGAGCAGTAGAATAGGCATGATCCTCAAAAACCTATGTATTTATAATAAGAATACCTAAGATGATCTGGATGGTCTGAACCAAGGTATTTAACACTTATTGAAAGGATCAAAAAAACCAAAATGGAGTTTGGGGACTCCCCACTTAGTAGACACTAATACACTGAGACTGGATATCTTGAGAACTTTATTTGGGACATCACTACAATCTACTTGAATCCTGAATCATAACCTGGATCACAGCTAGAAAATATAGGCCGCATATACTTGTTGCTTATAACATCTGAAAAACCTTAGGTCTAAACATACATGTGTGCACAAATGCACATGCACACACACACACACACACACACACACACGACTATAGATAATTTCTCACCTGAAAATACCTCCCCACTTCTTCAGCAGAGTTTCACTATATTGATCTCTGATTTCTAACAGCATGTCAAAAAGCTGATTTACAGGAAAACCATACACCTGAAACACAATAAGAAAACGGCTTCATTTTATAAGATGACCTTTTTTAGCAACATGAGAGAGATTAGGCACTGAAAGATATTTTTGTTCTTTGGCCAAGAATTTAAATGAAATCATGGGGCTGGCCCCGTGGCTTAGCGGTTGGGTGCGCGCGCTCCACTGCTGGCGGCCCGGGTTTGGATCCCGGGCGCGCACCGACGCACCGCTTCTCTGGCCGTGCTGGGGCCGTGTCCCACGTACAGCAACTGGAAGGATGTGCAACTATGACATACAACTATCTACCGGGGCTTTGGGGGAAAAATAAATAAATAAAATTATAAAAAAAAAAAGACTGCCTTATAAATGAAATCATGATAGGAGAATCTTTCATTTCCATCTAATGTCTAGTGTGTTTCTCTCAAAAATTAAAAGATACATACCAAAATATCTAAGCCAGCCAGAAAAAAATTAAAAGATGAAAATTAAAATGAATATATACTTGTCGGCTAAGTTCTCCCTACAACCCCTCCTGTAACTCTCAGCAACCTTCAGGAGTAGGAAAAGAAATTGAAAATGCTACCAATCTCACTTCTAATGCTGTTCTATTGGATATAACATGTGGTTCAAATCAATAATCATTATTCAAGATGGTAGCTAAGAATCTCCAAAATCACTCAGGCACCATACCTGAATTAAGGACCTTTTGAAAAACTAAGGTAGTGAGTGGTTCAATTAATTGATTTGCTCTGAGATAAAAAATGGGATGGGAACTACTTATGAGTACATAATTGGTCAAGGTGATGACCAGGAAATGCTATAAAGAGATAAAAAGATCTAGCTGTAGGAAAAGAAGAAACACAACTAAAAACTTAGAGGTACTTATTCAAGCTTAGGTAGACAACGAAAAGACAGAGAGCTGAATAAATATTAATCTAGATATCTACGTATGTAAACAGAAGTCACAAACCTGAAGTGTGTCAGCAAAAAGCACAATGAGGTTCTTCAAATCTAACACGAGGTTTGGATCAGAGCAATAAGACTAAAGGAAACAAAAGACAAAGAGGAAAAGGACCTTTATTATTAAAAATAAAACTAAATTTTGATTTATTTAATTGTTTAATGCTTCACCTGTTGAAGATGCCCTAGAAAGGGTCCAATTCTTTCCTGGTTTAAGGTAACACCAGATTCAGCCAGGGAAGAGCTGAGTAGAGACTCCAATAAGCAATGATCTACATTTTTAACACTTGGAAATTTTAAAACACACTACTAAACAACTCTTCAGTTAAAGAAGAAATCAAAATTGACATTGCAGATTATTTTTAAATGAACAATGAAACACTTCATACCAAAACCTATGAAATGGAACCATATTCAAAATAAATTTATATCTTTATATGCAAACATTAGAAAACACAAAAGACAGAAAATAAACTAACCACTCAACTCATGAAGCTAGGCCAAAAAAGCCAAAATAAACCATAAATAAGTGAGAAAACAAAAGTGATAAAATTAAAAGCAGAAATTAGTAACATAGAGAACACATGAAAGATTTGATCAATTAAACTAACAGCTCAAGTTAAAAATAAAATCAGTAAAGTAGACAAATCTTAGGCAAGTCTGATTAAACAAGAAAGAGAAAACAAAACTAAACAATACAAGGAATACAAGAGAAAATAAACATAAACACAGAGGAAAATAGAAATCACAAATGAAGTCCATGTACAAGCTCTTATCAACAAATTGGAAAACTGAAATGACATGGAAGGTAGCTTCCGTAGGCAGCATACAAAAGATGTATATGTCACTATGAAGAAAGTTCAGTGACTTTGATATTCAAATCCTCTTAATTATAGTTTTGTTATTTGCTTTCTGCTTGATCTCTCAATTCCTGAAAGAGGTGTGCTGAATTCTCCCACGATGGTGTGGTTCATCAGTTTCTCTTCTTACTAACATGTTTAGTTTTGTTTTATACATATTGATGCTTGTTGTCCCCTGTAAAAAGGCTATTGCCTTTTGGGTAGGTTAAAACTAATATCACTACAAAATGTTCCTCTCTTCTCCCATTTAATAGTCTTCAACTTCAATTCTATTTGCCTTGGAGAATACCGCCTTTCTACTCCTCTTTAATTTTAATCTTTTTAGGTCACCTTAATTAATGTATGAGTATCTCTTAGTAATCAGACTATAAAACTTTCTTACTCTATAACATTTCCTGTGATTATGACATATTTGGACCTATTCCAGCCATGTCATTTTAAGTTTCCCTTTCCAATAATTTCTTCTTTCCTTTTTACTTCCTTTCATGTTTTTCACCAAATGAGTTCTTTTAATTAAGGTACAGTAGTTATTAATAAGTTATATACTTTCTGCTCACTGATTACTTGAAATACTCTAGAGTTTTCATCAAAAAAACTTTTTAAACATTAAATCTCTCCTTTTGTACGAATTCTTAATAGCATTAAACTTTACAAATAATCAAATAACCGGTTATTTAGATATATCTGTGAGTTTTGCTCATTTTTCTGCACGCAATTTATTTAATCCTACCCCATCATATATTTTGGATTTCTTTTTCATTTTTTGTAGAACCTAATAATACAGGATGGGTAAAGACTAAACTTTGAATCCCTATATGTTTGAAAATGCCTTTCTTTTGCCCTCAAACTAAAATACAAAATTTCAGATGTGAGAAAATTGTCTCCCATCAATTTACCCTGCTTGATTCAATGCAGCCTTTCAATTTTAAGAATCCGGTCTTTCTTCATTGCAGGGAAATTTCCATCTTTTATTTCTTTAATTATTAAAGTCTCTCCTTTGTGATTATCCTATCTTTCTATTAGATACAACCAAAATCAATTATCCATATTTCTTAACTTTCCTTTCATATTTTCCATCTCTTTGTGTCTTTGCTTCATATTTTGGGATATATATTTGACTTTATCTTCTTGACCACAAAAATAGCCAATTTTATCTATTTAATCTGTAAATTAAATTTCTCTATTCTATTTGAATTAAACCTCTATCATAGATTTCCAAGAAAGCAATTTTATCTTTGATTTCTGCCCTTCTTTGGCTTGCTTGCTTCCTTTTCCTCTTTCCTACACTTTTTTAAATTGTGAGTACCGTATACATAAAGAAAAAAAAGAATAAACCTATATGTACTATTTTACCAGGCAAGCAAAACTGAACAGCACCAGCATGCCAGAAGCTCCCAGATGCTCTAATCACAACTCCTTTTCAGGGCCGGCCTGGTGGCTTAGTGGTTAAGTGAGCGCACTCCGCTACTGGCGGCCTGGGTTCGGATCCTGGGCGCACACCCACGCACCGCTTCTCCGGCCATGTTGAGGCCGCATCCCACATACAGCAATTAGAAGGATGTGCAACTATAATGTACAACTATCTACTGGGGGTTTGGGGGGGAAAAAAAAAAGGAGGAGGATTGGCAATAGACGTTAGCTCAGAGCCGGTCTTCTTCAGCAAAAAGAGGAAGATTGGCATGGATGTTAGCTCAGGGTTGATCTTCCTCACAAAAAAAAAAAAAAAAAAAACTCCTTTCCTTCCCACTAAGGGAAATAATATCATGACTTTTATGATAATCATTTCCATGTCTTTCCTGAGTTTTTTTGTTTCTTTGTATTTTTTAACTTAATAGACTTTACTTTTTAGAGCGGTTTTGAGTTGACAGATAAACTGAGCAGCAAGTACAGAATTCCCATATACTCCTTCACACATATACTCATACACAGTTCCCTCTACTGTAATATCTTGCATTAGTGTGGTACATTTGTTACAACTGATGACCCAATATTGACACATTATCATTAACGAAAGTCCATAGTTTATATTAGGGTTTACTCTTTATGTTGTATATTCTATGGGCTTTAACATATGTATAATGATATATTCCGCCATTACAATATCATAGAGAATCATTTCACTGTCCTAAAAATCCCCAGCACTCCACTTACTCATCCTTCCATCCCTCTCTCGAATCCTGGTAACACCCGATCTTTTTACTGTCTCCACAATTTTGCCTCTTCCAGAATGTCATACAGTTGGAATCATAAAGTATGTAGCCTTCTCAGATTGGCTTCTTTTACTTAGCAACGTGAATTTAAGCTTCCTCCATGTCTTTTTGTGGATTGAAAGCTTATTCCTTATTTCTTTGTACCATTGAATAATATTCAATTATATGGATGTACCTAAGTTTGTTTATCCATTCACCTACTGAAGGACATCTTGGTTGATTCCAAGTTTTGGCAATTACCAATAACTGCTAGAAACATGCATGTTAACATTTTGTGTTAACATAAGTTTTCTACTCATTTGGACAAATATCTAGAGTACACCTGCTGGATCATATGATAAAACTATATTTAGTTTTGTAAGAATTGCCAAACTGTCTCCTAAGCTAGCTGCATCAGTTTCCATTCCCATCAGCAATAAGAGTTCCTGTTCCATTCCCTCCAGCATTTGGTGTTGTCAGTGTTTTAGATTTTAGCCATTCTAATAGGTGTGTAGCAGCATCTCATTGTTTTTTTAATTTGCAATTCCCTGATGATGTATGATGTGGGGATTTTTTTTGTATGCTTACTTGCCATCTGTATATCTTCTTTGGTGAAGTGTCTGTTCAGAACTTTTGCTCACTTTTAAATTGGGTTGTTTGTTTGCATATTGTTGAGTTTTAAAAGTTCTTTGTGTCTTTTCGAGACCAGTCCTTTATCAGATCTGCATTTTGCAAATATTTTCTCCCAGTATGTGGCTTGTCAGTTCATTCTTTTAATTTCATTGCTTTGTAACCACCTAAATATTCAGAGTTACTCATTATTTTCTTTCTCAACATCACATAAATGGAAATAAACTGTAAGTATCATTTTCTGTTTTGCTTCTATCATTTAACATTATACTTGTGAAATTCATCTATGCTACTGTATATAGCTATAGTTTGGTCATTCTCATGCTGTACAGCATTCCATGTTATGAGTTTAACTCAGATTATTCATTTTATTACTGAGGGAAATTTAAGTCCTTTCTAATTTTGAAAATTCAACAACGCTGGAATGAATATTCTTGCACATGTATTATGGTGCATTAGGGCAAGTTTCTCGAGGGAATATAGTTAAGGAAAAGAATTGGTGGTTCATGGGGATCTTCAATTTCACATGATAATGTCAAACTTTTTCAAAGGGTTTTACCAATTTAGACTCATTCCCTTACTAGTATATAAGAGTTCTGATTGCTTCATATCTTTATCAACATTTGTATTGTCAATTCTTGCATAACACTATCTCATTTGGTTTTAATTTGCATTTCACTGATACACTAAGGTTGAGCACCTTTCACATGTTTCTCAACCAGGTGGATTCCTTCTTTAGTGAAGTATCTGTTTAAATCTTTTGATCACTTTTTCTATTGAGATGTCTGTCTTTATTGTAATGATGTGTAGAAATTCTTTATATATTCTATGCTAGTTCTTTGCTGATTTTATGTGTTGCAAATATCATTTCTTACTATGTGGCTTATTTTTTCCATTATCTTTTGTTTTTTGTTTTTTTTCTTACAGTTTTAATGTAGCTTAATGTTTAACATATGTATCTTTTCCTTTATGGTTAGTGCTTTTCAGATTTTAGTTAGGAACTCCTTCCATATCCTGAATCACAAAGATATTCCCTTATATTATCTACTAAAAGATTTACAGTTTAACCTTTCACAGTTTGATGTGTTACCCACCTGAAACTCATTTTTTGGTATATTATTTCCCCCATACTGAGCGTCAACTGTCCCAGTACTATTCATTGAAAAGTCTGTCCTCTACCCACTGACCTGCAATGTCATCTCTTTTATAAACATCAAGGATCTGTTTGGAAGCCCTTTTTTCTGTTCTCATTATCTACCCAATGACAATACAAGAGTGTCTTAAATTAATATGATTTTTAAATTAAATCTCAATATCTGGTAGAGGAAAGCCATCTACCTTATTCTGAGTCTTAAGGAGTCTCTTACCTGTTCTTGGTCTTTGTACTGACTTAAAAATATTAC